TGCAAATGCATTTAGTTTTCTCTGCTCTGCTCCATTCATCACACCCACTTACAGCACAGACACGCACACACAAGCACAGACACACACTCTGAGGCGCACATTCAGGGTTGAATATTATCTACTAGAGCATCTCAAACAATTGGAATATGGTTGAAGAAAAAAGTTCTTTTTTTAAAGTTTAATTAAAAAATGTACACTTTTATACATTCTGTATTTATGACAAGTAAAGTGAAATATTCCATGCCTTTTTTTTTGTTGTTTTAATTTTGATGACAATGACTTATAGCTCATGAAAATCAGAAATCCAGTATCTCCCATTATTGCCTAAAATTAATCCAAAAAAAGGATTTACAATACAGAAAAGTCAAACTTGGGAAAAGTATGAACATTTATATATTTAATGCTTGGTTGGGGCTCCTTTACTTTGAGTTACTGCATCAATGCAGCGTGCCATGGAAGCAATCAGCCTGTGGCACTGCTGAGGTGTTATTGAAGGCCCGGTTGCTTTAATAGTGGCCTTCAGCTCGTCTATATTTTTGGGTCGGTTCTCTCTCATTTTCCTCTGGAGAATGCACATATGGGATTCTATTGGGTTGAGGTCAGGTGAGCCGGCTGGCCAATCAAGTAATATCATGGTCGGTAAACCATTTGATAGTAGTTTTGGGTGCAAAGTCCTGCTGGAAAAGGAAATCTCCAACAGGCTCGTCAGCAGATGGAGGCGTGACACGCTCGAAAATCTCTTTGTAGACGACGGCGTTGACTTTGGATTTGATAAAACACAATGGACCAACGTCAGCACATGACATGGCACCAAAACCCATCAAAGACTACGGAGACTTCACACTGGACTTCAAACACCTTGGATTCTGTGACTCTGAAGTCTTCCTCCAGACTTTCACTGAATCGTTCCAAATGAAATGCAACATTTATTTTCAACTGAAAAGAGGACTTTGGACAACTAAGCAACAGCCCAGTTCTTTTCTTCTCTGCTCTGTTAAGATGCTTCTGGTGTCCTGGTTCAGGATATTAGAAATGTGACAGTTATCGTCTCTTTCCTAAAGCCATCTGTGCTCTGGGGCTCTTGATGCACTGACACCAGCCTCAGTCCACTCGTTGTAAAGCTCTCCCAAGTTCTTAAATCAACTTTTCTTGACAATCCTCTCAAGGCTGTGAGCATCCTTGTTGCTTGTGCACCTTCTCCCACCACACGTTTCCCTTCCAGTCAACTTTCTATTATCTCTGCCAACAACAGAGATAATGGAAAGCTGACTTTCAGCAATGGCCTGCTGTGGCTCCTTGAGGAGGAGGTCGAAGGTCGTCTTCTGGACAACTTTCAGGCTGCAGTCGTCCCCTCACGGATGTTTGTGAGACACACAGTATTTACACTGATTTAATAGTAATTTGCTGTAACTTAAAATGAAATATTCTAATATTATGAGGTATGGTTTTAAAATTTTAGAGGCTTTAAGTCATAAACATAAAAACTAAAACAGAAAAATGCATGAAACATTTTACTTTACATGTAATGAGTCTAGAATATATTCAATTTCCTGTTTCTTAAATAACTGATGTAATCCATGCTGGCTAAAGGCTAACCCCTTCAGACCAGCAGGACCGTCCTCCTACTCTCCAATGTCCGCTCCCTCCACAACAAGCTGGACGTTTGCTGAGAGAAACCCGCAGAGAGTGGAGGGACTGCTGTGTGTTTGCTTTAACAGAAACATGGCTCCATGACGACATCCCAGACGGACATACAGCTGGAGGGAACGACATTAATCTGGGCGGACAGACAGACAGCTAGCTGTGAGGCAGCATCTGCGACTTCATCATCGTCACACCATCATGTGTGTCCCTGAAGACCTACCAGGACCTGAAGAGGTTCAACATGTTCAACGTGATGGCGGCGCGCATGGATGCAGCGCCCCCTTCAGGAGACAGCGAGAGTGAACGTTTAGTGTCTTGCCTATTCCAGACATGCATTCGGCAAAACTTACTAATTAAATGATCCTGAAGAAACGCTCTCTCATCTTGCCTGTAGTACTGTCTGTACAGCAACATGACAATAAACTTGATTTGATTTGATTGGATAAATATTACACTTTTTCAGGACATTTTAACTATTTACGGTACTACTTGCAAACATCTGTTGTTACATCCGACCTGTCATTCCACACCTGTCCACCAGTCGTCCCACTGAGTTCCTGCTTCAGCCTCTTACAGAACCAGTCACCTGCCTGCACACCTGTTCCCCATCGCTTCAACAGTCACAGTATACAGTGTGCCCGGCCAATATTCACACTCTGCCAGATCGTCCAAGCTGCCAAGCAGACTTAGCGTGCCAGTTTGAATCCTATTCTGTCTCTCTGTATCTGCATTTGTGACCACCTGCCTGCCCCTCACCACTGTGCGCCAGCCCTTTGGTTCCATTTGCCAGCTGGGAATGCCTTTTTTGATACTGTCTAAAAGCATTCTGATCTATCGAGTGAAGACTGAGTCTACTGAACCTGCATTGCCTTCTGCGGTCTGTTCGCATCTGGTCAGCAAGACACAAACAACCAACACACATATTTATTCAGTTCATTCTGATATATATGTAGAAGAATGTTGTACTTCAAATATTTCCCATCTGATATTTGACCTCACTTTTAAACATCCATTAAGAATTCTTTCACAAAGAAAAGCACCAAAAAGACAGAAGATAACATATAATGTTGTGTTCCATCATAGTTCCAATGACTGATTGAGTTGGACATGAAATTATGTGTTTTAAAATATGAATGTAACTATTAGGATTATTAGACCAACAAGTAGTAACTGCTGAGCATTTTGACAAAAACCGGGGGAAGAACTTGGGTGACACACATGGCTAGATATAATTGAAGCCGCAATGACCTTAATTTTCACCTGCTCATTTGAACATGAGACGGCAGCACAAAACAGACCTGGTTCATGTTTTTTTTTGTGGCCATGCTGCCTCGTGTATGAGCACACATTGTCCTTATACAAGGCTCTTAGTGGCCCTGCATGGCCTAAAAAGAGAGTACTTCAATTACACATGAATGAACCAACAAATACACAGAGCAGAGCTTTTACTCTGGCCTTCTTTTCAAGCATCTCATAAAAAATTAGAGGGTAAAACTGAGCTAGAACCTCATGGATGCAAATACTGTCACAAATAAGCGAAAACTCTAATGCCACGTTCAGACTGCAGACAAAAGGGGCAAACATCTGTATTTTTGGGGGGGGGGGTCATATGTTGCATATGTGTGAACAATGTGAACAGCACAATTCACAACAACTCTTCATTTCTGACTTGGGCCACTGCTATATATGATCCTAAATTGAATCAATAATATCAAGATATAAGCCAGATTTTTTGGCAAAGCAACCTCAGATTGAAGAGTCACATCGGAATTTATGCAGCAGGTCAGATCTGAGTGTCTTTCCATAAAAATCTTTAGGAGAGACAGAGTGCTGCATGTCACATATTTCCTCATGTTATTTTTTATGCATGTGGGATTGTGATATTGGCCACATTTGGAGAAAAACAACAAAAATCCTAACAGGTCAACAAGAGAATTTAATATGAGCAATAAATCAGAATGAGCACTGAGGCTTGCAATCATGTAGAATTTCCGAGTCAATGCAACGATCCATCCATCCATCCATCCATCCATTATCTATACACCGCTCAATGCTCACTAGGGTCGCAGCTGACTCAGGGTGAAGGCAGGAGACATCCTGGACAGGACACCAGTCTATCACAGGGCGACACTTAGAGACAGACAACCAAGCACACTCACTAGCACTAACGACTCACATAACGAGGGGGGAGGAGCACCAAACCGAAACTAAAACTACCAAAACTCAGGTGTTAATGGATCCTTAAGGGTATAAGTATCTGGAACTCCCAACTAGTCAGTCAGAAGTGATGAAGCCTCTTGGATGAGAGGTGGAACGTCTTCAAGGAATTGATCTATGACTAAACTACGAGAAAAATCTCTATGTTCCACAATCGCACTGCGGCTGCATT